CATGTTTACACCCACGTTTGCTCAGTAACGTAGTAATTTAACGCCATTTTGCTCATCTACCAAAGAAACTTCTGTGATATTCCACAGTAATTACTAGAGTAGAGTTGCCAGCTCCACCCGTCATACTTGTTGCGTGCCAGTTTGTCGACTGTGTCACGATATATTAGTCGCGTGTGTATGTCATTTGTGTGTGTCGCGTGTAAGTTGGTCGCATGTGAGGTTTTCGACTGTGTCACAGAACCTTTCGTTTGTAACTTTGCCTGCAGCGAAACATAACCTTCGTTCTATTTGTTTGTCAGTTGTGTACAGTATGTCTTCACTGAGTCAGTACTATATTTAACACAATAGAATAACTGACAAAACATCAAATGGAAATGTAAGCAAACCTAACAACAGAACTGATTGGTAATCTAGGTAGAATTTTGGAGAGTCCAATCATTCATTGTTAAATACTCTGAAAATAATGCCGCCTCAGATAGCCCGATAACATTATTTCAATGTGATCGCCATTTTTAAAAAAAAAACATCCAACCACTGTTTGGAAATTTGGAACAGAGCAAATTTGGCGTCGGGCGGAAATACACCATGGTGATTAATATATGAAATACAGTGTTTTATGAAAGGGTACCTAATTTCTTAATCGTACGTTAATGCAGGATTGCATCTACTGGAACCAGATAATTTCGTTTTTGAAATTTCTAGAGGTTCCAATGTGTTTTTAAAACACATTAAGAAATAACGAAAGTTGAATGTACTGGTTGTGTGAAATAAAAACAATATGTAAGTGAATTGTCCAACAAAATATACGTGTGTAACGATTCTTCAAACACTAAAATGTTTTATACAAATATCTTGTAAATCCCTCAACCGAAGGCTAACGAAGATGACTTGTAAATCGTGTTATTGGTGATATTTGGTTGCTTAACTGTTTTTTAATCCGACGTCACGACGAGATGTTCTATATTACACTCGGGCGAGATCTTACGTGTAGTATTGTCCAAAGTACAAGCCATTGTCAACCAAAATAAGTGTCATATACTCTGAAACGTTTTTAATTGGCCGATCCAATCAGAAATCGTTTGTGACGTCATAATATGGAAAATGGTGTTACGTCATGAATCGAAAATGCCACAACAAAATGGCTGCCTCCATTTGATTTTGTTCTCCACATTGTTGCTTTAAACCGGTCAAATAGAATTTTTCTGAATAATATGATAAACATTATCTTCATTTTTTAAAGTTTCATATCAGATTTTTAATTCGTCTCGGAGTTTTAATTTTTGCTCGCCATGCATAGTCGCTCCAATATTTATATATAGATATATTTAAGTCAAACCACTACTCTTGGAATTTAAAGGATTGCGTGCTAGATTGGTTTAGAAAAAGTAATATCATAATACTAACCTGAATCAGTATCATAATGGAAAGGTACCACTACGAATGAATTCCCCTAGGTAAATATCAGTTTTGTAGATTTTCATATTCTTAGTTATGTAAGTTGAAATCTATAGGTGTCGTGCATCTCTGCTGAGCTAAAACATCGTCATAATCATCAATATATATTTAGATAGATGAATATACTACTGTTGACAAAGTGGCCTTGGTACATCATTGTGTTGTTCACTCAGAATATATATATATATTAATTGTTATGACAATATCCATCATGTTCAGACTTAGCGGGATCAACAGTTTATATATAGATCATCAGTATCCGATATGCTCAGACTTAACGGAATCAACAGTTTATAAATAGATCATCTGTATCCGACATGTTCAGACTTAACGGAATCAACAGTTTATAAATAGATCATCGGTATCCGACATGCTAAGACTTAACGGAATCAACAGTTTATAAATAGACCATCGGTATCCGACATGCTAAGACTTAACGGAATCAACAGTTTATAAATAGATCATCGGTATCCGACATGCTAAGACTTAACGGAATCAACAGTTTATAAATAGATCATCGGTATCCGACATGCTAAGACTTAACGGAATCAACAGTTTATAAATAGATCATCGGTATCCGACATGCTAAGACTTAACGGAATCAACAGTTTATAAATAGATCATCGGTATCCGACATGCTAAGACTTAACGGAATCAACAGTTTATAAATAGATCATCGGTATCCGACATGCTAAGACTTAACGGAATCAACAGTTTATAAATAGACCATGCCGACATGCTAAGACTTAACGGAATCAACAGTTTATAAATAGATCATCTGTATCCGACATGTTCAGACTTAACGGAATCAACATTTTATAAATAGATCATCGGTATCCGACATGCTAAGACTTAACGGAATCAACAGTTTATAAATAGATCATCTGTATCCGACATGCTAAGACTTAACGGAATCAACAGTTTATAAATAGATCATCTGTATCCGACATGCTAAGACTTAACGGAATCAACAGTTTATAAATAGATCATCTGTATCCGACATGTTCAGACTTAACGGAATCAACAGTTTATAAATAGATCATCGGTATCCAACATGCTCAGACTTAACGGAATCAACAGTTTATTAATAGATCATCGGTATCCGACATGCTCAGACTTAACGGAATCAACAGTTTATAAATAGATCATCAGTATCCGACATGCTAAGACTTAACGGAATCAACAGTTTATAAATAGATCATCGGTATCCAACATGCTCAGACTTAACGGAATCAACAGTTTATTAATAGATCATCGGTATCCGACATGCTCAGACTTAACGGAATCAACAGTTTATAAATAGATCATCAGTATCCGACATGCTAAGACTTAACGGAATCAACAGTTTATAAATAGATCATCTGTATCCGACATGTTCAGACTTAACGGAATCAACAGTTTATAAATAGATCATCGGTATCCGACATGTTCAGACTTAACGGAATCAACAGTTTATAAATAGATCATCGGTACCCGACATGCTAAGTAAGACCAGGCTGATTCAGCATTTTATCTATAGATTATGATGATGTTTTACAGCACGTTGTATATTTCATTTTAAAATGATACTACTTATTTGATTTTATTCTGATAATTCTAAGCTTTGAACAGATTCGTGTTAAGTTTGAATGTACTTTAGTACAGGATCAGCGGCGAATGTCTTGCAGGATATTAATTATCAACAAGATTACATCCAGTAGGAACAGAAATATGTGTAACTAGATTTTAATGGTATGCTTCAATTTTACATTTTATTCTTAATTGTACATATTATATTCTAAATGAATCATTGTTTTTACCGTAATATGTTGTGAAGCTAGTGAACCAAATTTGTATACAGCAGTACGACTGAGTGACAATCACCTTTCTAGTTATACTTAGTACAACCCGAGTGAGGATAGATAGGTATTTGGTAATTTGTAGTTATCCAAAAATCACCAAACTGTTCGAGCTGTTTACGTTTCTCCGGCAGGATACATACTTACGTGTAGCCACGTCCGTTTGTTGAGCAATATTTCATTAAAATTGTTATAAATGTTTATAAATTGTTGATGATGATTGCCTTCTTGCCAAAGTACAGATCGTTTTTACACATCTTCTCTTCGTTGGTATTGTAACAAGACACGTCCAGAATGTAAGAAAGAAATATTTACTACACTTCTTCCAAAAATGTGTGCGCGGAATGAATGTATATGGTGGAACTTTGTTACTCCGAACACTTAACATTATAACACAACGGAACCTTGTTACTCCGGACATTTAACATTATAACACAACGGAACCTTGTTACTCCGGACATTTAACATTATAACACAACGGAACCTTGTTACTCCGGATACTTTGTTTTATGTTACCCTGGGACCTTGTTAATCCGGATACTTTGCTTTATAATACAACAGAATCTTGTTTGTGTGGAACCTTTGCTTTATAATACTGCGAAAAAGTGTTCGTCCTAACACTAACCTTTATTACACAATGCAATGGTGATAATCCGGACACTTTGCATGCTTTATATTACATCAGAACTTTGTTAGTCCGGACACTTTGCTTTCGGACGCATTTGGTTAAAGCACTATTTTTATTCTTACAATTCCGTTTGGTTAATTGGATATTGAAGTAATGTTTGTACGGGCAGAATATTGTTAATAGTATCACTTTGTGTTCATCTAAACATCTGGCTCAGCGAATTTAGTTTCACAAATGCAAAGGCTACTCCGATATTGTTTGAGTCATTATGATCAAAATCTGTCCCGCACAAAAGAGATCGTCCTCTAGCAGTCCGGAATAGACTATACAAGTCCGGATTTCAAAGCCATCTGACAGTCTACAGGCCGTCCAGAACGATTTTTGACCACAGGAATATTTTGTTGAGTATCTATATACCTCGGCAATTCAAATATCACAATAATAAGACATATTTAATTATTAGGTTATGAATTATTTGCCTGTCAATCTAAATTGTTTATGGGTTTAGAATCCTGTATATGAGATATTTGCCTGTTTACGCTGACGGGCTTTCTTTGTACTGCAATATACATATACTTTTATACAGATTTATTTGGCTCTCGATTTCTATGTTTGCAACGAATGATTTGTTATTTATAATGAAATATGCGTGCTGAATAAACATAATGTTAAATAACTATTTTCTTTGTTATTAATAGAAAGGTTTTCGTGTATATGGGAGGTGCTTACCTGACAAAGGTGTATGAGTTAGTACATGTGTAGCTTTTACCTGGGCGTCGGACGACGTTAACAAAACTCAGTGGCACTTTCATAACACCATGAACGCGTCTTTTCTTGAAATGTCAAAAGTATCGTTTCGATCGGGACACTTGAACGGATGATCAACATATGAATATAAGTATGGTGTCTGTGTGTTCCATCCGACACACTGATCCATTTCTCTAATTTCTAGTTCAACATTAAATGTACAAATTCACTAATAGTCTTATCTCATTAACCAAAAACTAGTTTAAATTCAAATTCTATATCAAATTTGAGTTTTATTTCTTATTCTTTTCAATTCTTCCAGGGTATAATCCTTAGTCCAAAGAGCTCTTTAAAGCAGAGCTCGTGGCAGATCGCTTGCGGCGGTTCCAAGGGCAAGCCATGTTGGAAAGCAGTCCCACACCTCTACAAACATATTATAAAATCCTATTTTATTGCTTAGGCATTTTATCAATAGATTCAAAATATTGATTAATTGTTTTCTTCCTAAAAGATAGCACGCGAATGGTCAAATATTTGAACGTATAAATTGATATAACTACAGAAGAAGGGAGATAACCAAATGTTACTTACGAGCACTGTCGGAAACAGTCGTTGGTATAAGTCAGCCCGTCCGTTCCACACACCGGTGAATACATTGGGCCACACTTATTCACACAATCACACGAACCAGAGGAACTTTTAGGGACTCCGCTACGTGGGAAACAACATGACAAAATTCCACGTGTTAAATTCTAAGAGGTATATTCATGTATCAATTTCATAAGAATAACTTAATGAATCACTGTTTCTAATTAGTGTGTCAAAAGAATGTTGGTAAACGCAATGTTAAATTAATGATGCATTGACTTTTATGTTTAAAATGTCTTTTTTCGAGGATTTGTAAAAGTTATATATACAAAGACAAAATAATGATTATCAAGAGAAAATGGATGGATAGACGACTGAAGGATCTTAATAAATAAAAAAAAAAGTTTGGATTCATGTGTAAATATACGTACGCGCATGCCCGGACACAATCATTGAGATACGTCTTTCCGTCTTGTCCACAGACAGGGGTCTCTGTAGGAGGACAGACACACTCGCACACTCCTTCATGTTGCTTTAGGATACTTCCGTCATAAATGGACCTATGGATAGTAACAGGTATATGTGACAGAATTCGTTATATGATAATTCCCCGTAGCCAGGGATACCACCGTCCAAAGTCCACATTTCAACAACCACTCTCGTATTTTGTAATAAAAGTACATTATTAAATAGTTACATGTCACAGAAATAACAAACTAGATCAATCAAAACGATGATCCCATTTCGTCACAATAATGACACAGTTAAATGAGGAATATTGTTCCTGTACTTCTGTACAGATCCTCCAGCTTAGAGACAATAAAATACTTGTTATAACAATGGCACCATGTCGTTACATACAAGGTAGTTTTCTTTCATTCAAATTCAAACAACACCAAATCATCACAGATATTCACAGATGTGCGCCATAGTGATTTCTGATCGGTCACTTTTTAAGTAGGAAGTACTTATTGATTCGGAAATATGATTAGAACTTTATTTTTCTTGAAGCATCGACCTTTTTATATTGTGGTGGACTTACTGACAATCTCTAAAGCAGTCGTTCTCGTAGGTTACGTTGTTGGTACCACAAACCGGGGTGTACATCCGAGGACAGTTACAGCGACAGAACCCGTCCGACACTTTCAGCATTCCTCTACACAAAAGTATCAAATCATTCAAATGTTTTACATAATTGTATTAATTTGAAGTCGTAAATATGAAAATATTTTTTTTATACAAAGTGAATAAGACCATGTGTTGCTGAAGGGTAAGTGTCGTGTTCTCAAAACGAACAAGTTGTTAACAAAACCACCTCTCGTATCAGCGAGCATCAATCACAAATGTACGCTAAAAGTCTACAAATACAAAATTTTCGAAATCATTCGTTTGGCTAGCATTACAAAAATCAATCCCGCCTATAATTTAAATACGAGCACGCGCAGTTGACTTGATTACTAACACAAAACAACCGACCGAAGCTGGAGGTACCCAAAGAATCGCCAAATCCCAGGTAAGCTTAGTTAAGGAATAAAAAAGAACAAGGAAGTGAGCTACAGAAAAGCTGAAGCAATACTGGTGAAGGAGGAAGGTAGCAAACGAAGGCGTCGGTTCAAAAGTCAACGAAGGGGATTTAAAGACATCATGTTAGAATTTATAAACACTTCCTCTCTACCACTAATAAGTCAATTTTCTCGTAGTGACGAAGTAGACATAATCCTCATTTTCACAAAATCAACTTTTATCAGCTACAGCGGGTTGCTTCTTTTCAAATATTACATATTTATAAGGGTCGAGTAGTTGTAGAATTCATTATCCCTGCGAAATTAATATAACATCGTCTACACCTCGTCAAAATAAGGAAATTAACATTTTAACCATGTTCCTCCTCAGTATCATAAAATTCCTGTTGAATCCTTGATAATCATGACCCCATTACCTGTAGAACCTTGACCACTTACAATTACGCCCACTGTCTCTAGTACAACTATTGCAATGTCTACTTTAACCCCGTGAGATCACGACAGCTACTGGACAACTGTACAAGATCCTCCCACAGGGATTGCAATCCATACTTCAATTCTGAATTATTAATACAGTATGACGTCATCAAAACCAATTAATGATAACACCAGTAAAAGTGATTTCTGGACTTCATTTCCGCAGGTACATAGCTAAAGGACGAAATCAATGACAGTCAACCCGAGAGAAATTAATCTTCAATACAGTGATGTAACAAACTACAGAGAAAAAAATCAACTACGACCAGGCCTCGCTTGCTCAGGGGTTGGTTACAGTCTACCATTCGTTAGAAAAAAAATCAAATTGTTGCTACTGAAAAATACCCAAAGAGTGTTAAAGGCAATATTAATACTCTTAACAAACCTATATGGCCTTTCTTAATAAAATTACAGGTATGAAATAAAAAAAGAACGTTTTTGTTTAATTCGTTTATGAAAAAATTCACAAACCACTGGTTATCTCTAATTAGGATTTGAACAACCAAGGTAAGGGGTTAGACAATGTAAGTCATTATAAAAGGCGAATATCATTTATGACAAAGTTGGCGGGTTTACCGATTAGGAAATGTTTGGGACACTTAATTGATGACGGAACGTAATTTCAAAGATACGTGAAATGATGGACAGGTACGTCCAGTAGGCCACGTCCTTACTTCACCAACTGAACAATGTGATCCCGTTTTATGTCTTGGAAAAGATCGTTCTGATTTTAGCAGTCTGTCATATTAACTGCTGTCACCTGTGATTTTCCTTAGGCCATAACTAGGACGTCACATCAACGATGTAAAACATAACAACACATATAAGAATGCTAGACGGGTAAGGGAAAATTTACCACCTTCCCCATCTTCACACCTGTGGTTAGCCTTGCGTTAGGCTGCCCTGTGTACAAAGAAAAGGCACATGTAAGCTTCTTTAAATGCTACTCTAGGATTGAAACGGTCGGATTCCCAATCCAGCAGGCCGCGAGCAAATTAAACCTGGAATATTAAAGGGCTCTTAAGGCCTATCGACATCATTACTGACGACAGTTAATATGACAGACTGCTAAAAGCTATTTTAAACCGCATGTTTGCAAAAATCGCCAAGATACCCGTTAGAGCTCCCTACCCGTTTTTCAGGAAGCTGAGAAACGCATCAGTCTGCGATGTCGTGATGGTGTCCGTGAGAAAGAAACATTATCCTTATTACTCTGAATTTTAAATGAAATGCGTCGTACCTCCTGTATTTTGTTCAGTATTTTAGCCGCGAGCCACTAGAAAAGGGCCACGACTCAAAATGAACCTGGTCATTCACAGAGAGATAAACCCGACAAACAAACAAATTATTGCAAAAGAAAAATACTTTTATCGTAAAATTATCAAAATGAAACATGAAGGGCAGAGAGTCAATCCACAATAGAATGTAATACCAGTCATGGAGACACAGACAATGTCAATACACAATAGAATGTAACATCAGTCATGGAGACAGAGACAATGTCAATACACAATAGAATGTAACACCAGTCATGGAGACAGGGACAATGTCAATACACTATAGAATGTAACACCAGTCATGGATACAGAGACAATGTCATTACACAATAGAATGTAACACCAGTCATGGAGACAGAGACAATGTCAATACACAATAGAATGTAACACCAGTCATGGAGACAGAGACAATGTCAATACACAATAGAATGTAACACCAGTCATGGAGACAGAGACAATGTCAATACACAATAGAATGTAACACCAGTCATGGAGACAGAGACAATGTCAATACACAATAGAATGTAACACCAGTCATGGAGACAGGGACAATGTCAATACACTATAGAATGTAACACCAGTCATGGATACAGAAATAATGTCATTACACAATAGAATGTAACACCAGTCATGGAGACAGAGACAATGTCAATACACAATAGAATGTAACACCAGTCATGGAGACAGAGACAATGTCAATACACAATAGAATGTAACACCAGTCATGGAGACAGAGACAATGTCAATACACAGTAGAATGTAACATCAGTCATGGAGACAGAGACAATGTCAATACACAGTAGAATGTAACATCAGTCATGGAGACAGGGACAATCTCTAACATCATTATGTGACGTGGATGGCTTGCAGTACTTACGAACATAACATGATGCACGTGTTCGGGTAGTTGAGACCGTCCATTCCGCATACAGGCGAGAATTCCTCCCGACATGCGCACGGTTGTTCTGAAAAATAAGAAGTGTAAAGTTAATACTGTAAAGCTACAAATAATGTCATCAGATGCCCCATGAGTTAAGTGATGATTAGCTATCTTATAACAAGTCCCAACTTGTTAACCTTCAGTGGACCACATCTTCACCTATGATATATATAATTCAATTGTGACGTTATACGATGTCATTTTGAATTACAAATGACGTGTTATCTGGATATATGACAGTTCTTACCTCCATTAGAGGTCAGTCGCGATCTGCGGAAACAGTAGACCGCTGGGAATGGTCGTCCTAACAGAAGAAAGTACTTATCTCCGTCAGAGCGGTCAGTCGCCAGATTGCCTGAATGGACGGTTGTACTTATCTCCGTCAGAGCGGTCAGTCGCCAGATTGCCTGAATGGACGGTTGTACTCACGTCCGTTGCAAGGGACTCAGGAGGCCGCAAGGGCAAGTTGTTTGGGCTAATAACTTACCTCCGTTGTAAGGGTCAGCCACACATCTTGCAACCTTGGGACACAGGAGGCCGTTAGGACAGGTTGTTTGAACAGCCTCACAACGGAAACCTTGGGGGCACGTTGTGAACTAGAAATAGGTGTAAATGTTTAATATTATATCCAGTGTAACATTGTGGACACAAACGATATACTATGACTGGCACAATATGGTAATTTTCTGGTAAGGTCAGCCCGTGAGTGTTTCAGGGTCACATTTACAATTGATTTATTGACATTTTTGTTTGCTGTTGGTCAAGCAACAGCTTATCATTTTTAAGTTACAAATACTGACGATGGCTAGTTTGCTGGCTGTCCGTGTTTTAGAGTGTTAATAAAAAGGTATGGTATGTGATATATATGTATCTAGGGTTATTACCTACCAAACACGGATCTGGAGCACATTGGCAACGAGGACATCCGAACGGAAGGTATCCGAACGTACAGTTTTTCTCTAGGCATGTAAACATACACGGATCAGCATCTGAAACACAACAAATGTCATCAAGTACACGAATGTGTTTCTTGCATCTCATTTCATTACTTAATTTATGCATAATAGAAGAGACTTTACAATGTTGTTTGTGTGTATCACAAAACGCCGATAGATGGCGCCGTCATTGTAACATGGCCCGGATGTACTGCCCTTCCTTACATTCACTCATTTTCAATCGTAGCATTATCATGATTGGTGTTGGTTTGTTAAGGAGGGACAACTCTTGATCAGTATAAATCAACTTACCTGTTTGTGTTACCAAAAGTGACGTTACCAAGAAAATGGCCAACGGGAGCAGTCTGCACTTTTCAAATTGACCTCTGTAAATAAATGCATGTAAATGCAAATTAAATGCGAAAAGATTGGTTATGCAGATAGAAGATGACATGATGATGCTAAAGAGGAAAAGAAAAAAGGAGGGAATGTAAGCTCAAAGTCAACTGCTTGACTTTTGGCAAAGTATCCCTACAGTCTTATACTGAAAACAGAGTACAAAGAAAATTTAGTTATTCTCAGAAATGAATGAATGAGTTTAACTGTATTTTTCCTCTAATGCTAAATCATCCCTAAGTAAAGTATATGCGGGATACTCACTCCATGTTGGTAACAGACTAGGTTTCAGCGAGCAGACGGACAGGTAACCAACTGATGGGCATTTATTACACTTGTTTATATACGTGATAAATTACCAACATCTGTCGTTTTGTGTCCTGGCCGGAGGGCTGGTCAGCATCCATTACCCAGGTTCAATTGTAGATAAAATTTCGATCGGCATTGTTTGACGAAAATGTCAAATAGATTACCGACAGTAATGTACTGATAAATTAAAATCGAGGAAACGAAGGTTGACAACATCTGACACGCATGATGTGGTATTAGTACATAACCGTTGCTTGTGTTATACAAGTATTCGTTTGTTGTCAAAAATCGCCATTTTACTTTTCCTATTCCAAAACATGTTATCGATAAACAGAAATGATTTCATTACCATTTTTGTCTTCCCATTGTATTGTACAGGTATATGAAGACAATCATGTTGTCGTTTTCTGTAAGTTTTGATTCCATGTGACGAACACGTGATTATATACACTCCGGCGGACATGTTGAAGGACAGTGCTGATTGATCATTTAAGCATTAAAACATTGTTGATAGTCCGGATTCTTGTGACAATTTACCAGGGTTGTCCCGCAGATATAGAAAGGTCATACAAGTAAACCGAACAAGAATAGTAACTAATTTTATTTAAACTGCTGACCTTTCCTAGCACTTATCGATTTTCATCAACAGCCTAAAACAAGAGTGTCAGAACCTTTTGCACTGTTCCATCCGGGCCTGTAAGTGTGATCACAAACCAGTTATATAAACTATTTAGTAATAGTATCAAAAGAATATAATTACCGAAATAGCGGAATTGGACTGTAACCAGAGAAAATATCATCTAACACATATAAAAAGTAAAAGTCATCCCGCGCTGATTAAAATCTTCAGTAATGAGTGGTTGATTTTATACTCGTCTAAATGACTGATTTCACTGATTGATAGTCTAATAGGCTTATGTCCTTGTTAAATGTGGTTCTGAAGGGAAATTATAAACAAAAGTGTTCTCTTGGTACCAGAATATTTGCAAAGTCAGATATTTAATTCCACATTTATGTATATTTTGCAAAGGATTTTAGTTCGAATGTTAAACTGTTCTTTAAATGAATGATATGAAATAAGTCGTTACTTATCGTATTCAAGTAAAAACAGATACAGTGTGCAAAAAAAACCAACTCGTTCCTGTAGGGGGATGGTAACTCTATTCGGTCGTCCAACCCTTCATCTCTTATTAAATGTTTTTTTCTACAAATGGATGCTAGGACTTTTATCCACTGGAGTACTGTTTCCTGTTTAAAGACCATAGGATTTTCGTTGATAGCACATACAGGAAGGGAGGAAACTCAAATGGTCCATTCTCTAGTTTTTAAAGAGCTAAACTTAAACGCCTGCGATGCCGAGAGTTGAGCTTACTTAGATAAATGAAGCTATGAGCTTTGCCATAGTCTAATTATAGAATTCAATGATATGATAACGTCACCATTTGTCGGAAAGTAAACAATGCCTTTCATAACCTTGATGGAGAAAAACATCCTTTTTATGTGATTGTAGCGTATTATATAATTAAAAAAGGTTGAAACAAGGAACACCTAACATTTCTTAATCAAATCAACGTTCCTCCTCACTAAGACACGTGCTGTTGTTTTGTCTATGTAAATCATCAACATGTTGTTTAGTAGTCAGTAACATTCGTATTTATTATCGTTTTCATAAATGTCTGTAATGTAAATAGCGTGTTTGATACGATAAGACTCTCGTTTATTTTCTGTATGGATATGCTTACACATATAAGAGTATATGACTCGGCAATAAAGTGTTTTACCGTTATATACACGGTATTTACGTTGGCGATGTTCAACTGAAGGCATAACTTGCGTGTTTGTCACACCGTATGTAGTACGTGCTTTTCATTTCTCGTTATCAACTTTGTGTCAGTACTTGCGATTGGCTCACCAGGGACATGTAGATATCTAGTTTTTGATATATAGAATGTTGTTAAAGTGAACGGTTTACAATAGGGTAGACATGTATGAAAGTATTCATCACTAGCACCTTACCAACAAATAATCACAAACAATGTCCGTCGGATGGGACTTAAAATGGTGGCCCGTGTGGAAATGTTCAACTAGCACATTAAAGACCCTTCTGAGATTCTTCGAGAAAAGGAAGACGTGGTAACGCCGGCCCAGATGTTAGTATTAGCTTGGCATTAAAGACAATTAAGATGTTCATAAGAAATTCATGAAAAAGTAGAATCCTCAACCGGCCATCGTGCCGAGTCAGATTTAGGTAAGGATTGTATTAGTCAAAGGGGTCATCGTCAAAATTATACTTCAACAACAGGTCTGAGAGAAGAAACGACCCCTCTCTACCTCATCTCTCATCTCCCACTATCTTCCACCAGTTATCATTACTATCCTATCTTTTCTCGTCCCCTGTCTACCTCATATCTATATCCTACTCTCCCATCACTTCATGGGCTGCACTGATGTGAACTAATGACTGCAGATTTGTTTTCAGAAACCTTGTAACCTCTGTCGTGAGAACTTCGAAATTTTCAAAATCTATAGATTCCTCTGGGACTTTGTCTGAAGATTTAATCACTTGATGTATGAAAATAACCACAGGTTAAATATATTAAAAACTAAAATGTCAATTTATGTTTCTGCAAATTCTTCAATGAAAAACCTAATGGCCATTTAAATACAATATCGACGTGGGGTGGTTCAATATCACAGCGATGTGGATCATGGATAGTGATCTGTCTGGGTTAGCTCCCAAATTAAGTTTATTTTAATTTCGTATTTCATTGTAAAAGTGGAATCAGCTAAAACTGCAGAGTAGATTAGCATTTTAGATGTAATTGAGTCTGTCGTATTCATTGAGTGGGGGATACGCATCTCTTGTGTTAGACTGGAATAAAGCATTAATCTCCATGATACGTGTATATTACTGGTGATAAGTTCGGCTGGCCTTGGAATGTCATGCCTCTACGACTAACCTTTTACAATAAGTCTTGTGCTGCTGTGAATCCGGCGTAGGTGGTTGAGGTAAGTTAAGCATGAAATGTCCATTCTCTTTATTGGTTTACTTAACAATTAAAATCATGCGCTTGGCGGAAGTTGTAAAATCCTCTCCGATAAGTCAGTCATAGAAATGAAATCGACATTGGCTAGAACGAATCCATCAACCGTAACAACGGAACTTTTGACGTTAATGTAGACAAATAGGAACCTTTTGTCAACTTCGAGCAGTGCTGTTTATGTGGTGGCAATCATGAGTGAATCAATCCGTTTTTCATACCTCCGAAATCCATTAAATATGCCGTTTGCGTCAGTTCTATGCTATGTTTCAACAATTTGTTTTTTACGTTGTCTACACTCTGATGGGATAGTCTGGAAATCCTACGGATTTTGTGTAAGAGGGAGCACGGAGTAAGCTTACAGTTCCTGAACTCCAACATTACAGTCTTCATAAAAACGGCTATTGTCATGTTTAAGTTGATGAAATTGCATGTGTATTTTTGACTAAGCATGAGGGTGGGTGGGGTGGTTTGTGTGTGAGAAAGAAAAACATCAGACATAATTACAGTATATCGCCATATTAACATTAAAGGTTGAAATCTTCACTGTTTCAAAGTAAGGATATTTTGTTACTACTGTAATAATAAAAAGCATCAATTGTTACGATATTGAATTTCGTGGCTCCTTTTCTGTTAAGATATCATTTGATCATGATAATGTGTTATGTCTTCATAAGCTACACTCAATTCAAAAATAGTTGGTAGAATACTTGGATGAGAAATGTGTTAATGAGGTGACATGTGAGCTACTGTGAATCCCTTCCTGATAAAGAGATCTGAATGGTTCGTTTCACCAGCTTTGAGACCATGGTTGTTGGACAATGAACGACTAACTGACCAACCTCCCAAGGGAAAACGTCCCGGTAACTGTATGACGGTATAACCATAAATACAACTTAGTATTAAAAGTACATTCTTAATATATCCTCGTGACCATTAATGAAGAGTACACACGGTGAAGGTCATCTTATAGACATGGATGTGATTCAATACTCAGACATACAAACATTAATTAATATTAAGTTAACATCACTTCAAAAAGCTATGATTTTGCTTATCACTTGACTAATGAAGATATTCGACAACTCTCACATACTGACAACCAGGTTCTAAAACCTAGCTTTAGTGACGTAACATTACAAACAGAAGTCTGTGACGATATGATGTTCTCAGGTGGCTGCGACAGCACATCGGAAATTTAATTTGATTGGTTAAACCATCAAATCTCCCTGCGGGGAAATACAAAATAGAAACTACGTGAAATATGACATTTTCAGGTAAATAAAACATTTATTTTACTGTGCAACCAGGACAATACATGCTTAGTAATTGGTAATGAAGGACTTCGTGTTTGAAACTCTTGCGTTGAAAATGCACTTGTCTCACATCTGCATGGATACGTCACACTGTTTATCTAATGTTTTCACAACCAGAATCACGATAATTTAAATCAATTTTAAAAACCGAACAAAAAAATCAAGTAAACCTCATAAAATCGTAGATCATACTTTTACAGATAAAGTAAACTCTCTATATACACTTGTACAGCATGTTTTTCCGTTCCCTGATCCCTGTTTCACGAGTCTTAACCTAAAAAATTTCTTTAACTTAAAATCGCCCAGAGGAAAACATTACATAAGTTAAGGAAATTTACATAAATTTTAGCTTTATCTTAACTCATGTAATGTTCTCCATGGTAGTTAAGATTTTCTTAAGTTAAGGAAAATTAATGAAAGTGGGTCCTGTTGTTATCGGATACAACATGCTAAAATGTCGCATACTACTGAGAGTAATTTGTGTATAGAGTTTTGCCCACGGACATAACACAGCAGCTCAAGACGATCCGTGATCTTCGCTTCATGAGAAAAACACCAGGTTTATTACACTTTTGTCAATGAAATAAAAGAATGATAAATTTT